TCGCCGGCGCGTGGCCTGCGGCCTCCGGGTCCGCGGAGCGCGCGCCCCTCCTGCTCCGCAGCCGCGCCACCGCTGGGGGCGCGCACGCCCCAGATCTGTGGTTCTTGTGGTCTCTGATTCCGGCCACCTGTCTCTGCCATTCACTGTCCGAGTGAACTGGGCCAGATCACTTCACCTTCCTGAGCCTCAGTTTCCTCATCTGTCAAATGGGGGTTTATAAACACCTACCTCGCAGGGTTGTTGTGAGGATTTCACGCGTAATGTCTGTGCAGCGCCTAGCACGGCGCCGGGCACACAGTGGGCGCTCAATAAACCTAAGCTTCCTGGCTCGGCCCGGCCCCTCCTTCCCGCCGCCGCCCCCTCCTGCCCTCCGCCTTCCCGCCCGCCCGCCCGCCCGGTGCGCAGCGCGGCGGGCCGCCTCTGTCCCGAGCCTCGGCCGCGTCCCCGCCCCCCATTCCGGGCAGGCGCTGAGTCAGCCCGGGTAAATTTAGCTGGGCAGGCGGGCGCGGGGCTCCGCCAGCCTCAGGCCGGGCCGCCCGCCGCTGACCCGGTGCCCGCCAGTCTCAGGGGCCTGGAGGTCAGCGGGGAGGGCTGGGACCCCGGGGGTGCGGGACGCGTCGGGAAGAGCGGGGAGGTTTTGTCAGGCAGGAGTTAGAGGCGCTGGAGACTCGGGGGGGGCTGCAGCGTTGCGCTGGGGTTTTGGGGGGGTTATTTTGGGCGCTCGCGTGTGTGGGCGGGTGGGAGTGGGGCTGGTACTGGGATCGAGCTCCGGACCTTGCATTCACCAGGCAGGTGTTTACGCATGCCTCTGAGCCATATCCCAGGCCCTGGGCTGGAGATTAAGACCAAGACCTATGTTAATACCAGTCCTTGAGGGCCCTCAGCTCAGGCTCTTTGGGGCCCACCTAGAGTCTTTGCCTCCTCCAGGTTTTTCCTGTACCCGCTGTGTACTCACTCTCCAGGTTGGGTCGCAGTCTTCCTAGATCTCTTGGCTTCCCTTGAAGGCATGGGACAGTCCCCTCGCAGGCCCGCTGTGATGACCCACATTTTAGCCCAGTGCACCTATGACTCCTGTCATAGCGTTGCACAGTCTTCCCGCTGCGGAGGTTGGGTGACTCACTGAGATGCAGGGCTATTTAGAGGGGGTGCTCCGAGCCCAGTTATGGTCCTTCCTTCTGGGCTCCAGGCCTTGACTCTTGAACACCCAGGAGGCCAGCTGGGTGTCTTGAGGGAACAGCAGCTTTCCAGTTATCTGTTACATCATCTTATCTGGATATCTGGTGCTTCAAAATGTAGAGTAGGACTAGAAAGCATCAGGCTATTAATCAAGGTCAGTTTCCTAGTAGGAGTCGTGTTCTACCCACAGTAGGTGATGGCCTACCTCCTGACATCTGCTTATTCTGAATGTTAACAGATAAAAGTTACATATAGGTGCAGTGGGAGGATGGCAGCACAGGGAGGCTGAGTCAGGAGGATTGCCCTGAGTTTTGAGACCCTGTCTCAAAAACATGAAAAAAAAAAAAGTTTTACAATCTCTCTCCTTTTTTTTTTTTTTTTTTAAAGAAAAACTTTTGCTATGTAGTTCAGGCTGGCCTAGAACTCATTGTGTGGCCCAGCCTGGCCTCGAACTTACTGCAATTCTCCTGAGTGCTGGAAATAAAGGTGTGTGCCACCACACCAAGCAAGTTATAAAGTTTTACAAGGAAATTTTTTTCTTTTCTTTTCTTTCTTTCTTTTCTTTTCTTTTTTTGTGGAACCAAGGATTGAACTCAAACCCTTGTGCTTGTCAGGGAAGCGCTTATTCTACTGAGCCATCTCACTGGCCTCCAACAAGGAAAATTTAAGATTAGGAGGAAACAGCACATTTTAGGATAATGATTATGTTGATATTTATTTATTTTTAAATTAAATTTATTTAAGCTGTGTGTGTGTGTGTGTGTGTGTGTGTGCAGGGTCTCACTACACACCTCAGACATAGATCCTCCTAATTTGTGCCTTCCTACTGCTGGGATTACAGGGGTGCACCACTATGCCTGGCCTCCATCCGTGGCTCAGAACGCCCGGGGACAGGGCCTGCGCAGCATGCAGTGCCAGGGATCAAACCCTGGCCCCTGCACGTACCTAAGCAAGTGCTCAGTCCACTGAGCTATACCACTAGCTCTGATTATGTTGATATTATTATACTAGAAACATTCAATTATTATTATCTCTAAAAATACATTAAGGGGCCAGGGAGATGGCTCAGTAGAATAAGTGCTTGCCTGGCAAGCTCAAAGGCCTGAGTTCAATCCCCAGTTCTGCAAAAAAAAAATAAATAAATAAAAGTTACAGAAAAATAAAATAAAATTCAAAATCCCAGTTTAGGGTAGAGTAACCTAAAGCAGGTTAGCCATATCAAATTACAAAATATTAAATGATATAAATAAATTCTCATCTAAATTTGGTACATTTCTAAAATAACAAATTACCTAGCTGGAATTACTTGCTTAAAGAGGTGCTTTATGCCCGATCTTTATTTGTTTGTTTTATGTTTTGATTTTTTGAGACTGGATCTCACTATGTAGTTCGGGCTGAGCTTGAACTTACTATGTCGTCCACAATAGCCTCAAACTTGGGATCCACCTGCCGCAGCCTCCTGAGTGCTAAGGGTCACAGGTGTGCCGCTGCATGTCATGAATGCGAATATTAAGGGTGCCAAGAAGTTAGCAAGAGCAGGCACCACACCTATATAGAAATCTTATTTTGAGACAGGGTCTTGCTGTTGAGTTCAGGCTGGCCTTGTACTAACTACCCCAGTCTAGCCTCAACTTTACAGTGATCCTCCTGCCTCAGCCTCTTTAGTGCTAGGATTACAGGCCTGCAGCACCACGCCAGGCTGAAATCTTTTACACATGTTAATTTAGTTACTCTTAAAGTAAAACTTGGGGAACTACCCACTCAGGCCCCCTTCCTGTCCCTCTCTTGGACAGGAGCTTTCTTTCTCTGAATAAATATATTCTGCTCATTTTATTTTATTTATTTATTTATTTTTTGCAGAACTGGGGATTGAACTCAGATCCTTGCGTTTGCCAGTCAAGCGCTTATCCTGCTGGGCCATCTCCCCGGCCCTATTCTGCTCATTTTTAAAAAAAAAGTAAAACTTAGATTCTTTTAACAGGTTTCCATGGTGTAACTATACTGACAAGAATTAAAAAATATCTTCAGACCTCACAAATTTAGAAAATGATGTTAATGACTAAAAATATTTATTACTCAATATACAAGTGTATCACATTTTGTATAATAACAAAATGCTTATTTAGTGAAATCCAATACATATAGGTTAAATTTTACATGGCAGGACCAAATTTTAAAAGATGTCAATTTTTTTTTTTTTAATGGGTGGGCCGGATAGCTCAGTGGATTAAAGAGCCTGCTTAAACAGATGCAGGAACCCGGTCTTGATCCCATGTGCAGTGTCACCCCCCCCCCCCGGGTGTGTTGAGAAGGGGATTGAGGCTGCGCATGGTGGTGCAGGCCTGTAATCCCAGTGCTTGGGAGGCTGAAAACAGGAGGATCACTACAAGTCTGATCTGTGTAGTGAGACCCTGTAGACCTTGTACTACAAAAACCCAAAACAATTTTTTGATCATTTTATGTATTTAAGATCTAGATACAATGCAAAGTATATAATTGGTTACTTTGTAGGCATTAAACAAATGTAGTCTTAATTCTATAAACATTATTTTTGGTCCCAGGAATTGAAGTCAGGACCTTGCACATGCCAAGCAGGCCCTTTGCCACTGAGCTATATCCCCAGCCTATAAACTTTTTAATGTTATGTGAAGCTCAGGCCCAGTGTGGTGGCACTTGGGAGGCCGAGGCAGGAAGAGCGCTGCAAGTTTTCGGCCAGCCGCTACATTTCTTTCAAAAAAACAGAAACATTGAGGTACAGGCCTGTAATCCCACCATTGGAAAAGCTGAGGCAGGAGCATCGCTGAGCTGGAGGTCAGCCTGTGGTACATAAGTGATTTCCAGGCAAGCATGAGTAACACAGTGAGACCCTGGCTAAAAATAAAATAAAATAAAAAAAGAAAGAAATGCAACATTAAGCAAATATATTAGTTGTTACTTGCTGCTGAGTAACCAGCTAAGCGTTACTTGTTAGTTATTTGATGCTTTACCCGCAAGTTAAGGAAAGAGGGTCTACAGCTCACAGTCTGGCTCCAAGGCAGAGTGACAGGTGGCACACAGGTGTCAGAGAGGAGAAAGAGTCCCTGGTGGCCAGAAGTAGCGCGACAATGTAGCAGCGTCCTGCCCTGCATACAAGCTAGGCTACTGGGGCAGGCAGCACTCAC